GAGCAATTACTGCTTCTCGAATTTGGATATGTGATTTGTTCAGATATCTCCCAATCAGTCGGAAATCTAATTCGATACGAGAATGAAACTAAGACAATCGTCTCGAAATAGCTGTATTCAGTGCCGCTCACGAAATAAAACTTCATCGAGACATGTTAAAAATCTTTATTGGTTATAGCAATTGTCAAATACATATGAAGAGAGATAATCAATTCAGGATTTATCGACGAGAGGCAGTTTTGCCTCGAGTTGTACGCTCATTCGAGCTCGAATATCCGCTTTCACGGAACGTGAATCGCATACGCCTTTCCACCATTTTCGAGCACAATCCCAGACTGATTTGTTTGTGTAACAGAAGATTATCGATACGGCACAACCCTAAAAATTTGACGTTAGAAGAAAAAAACGCATCGACTTTTCAAACAAACATCGACTTTCAGTGGTTCACATCATTATTGGTGGATCTGGCTCAAGCAAAAATATCCAGACGTTAACCGCTCACATCAATTGTGTAATATATGGTCTACTTCGAGACAAAAGTGAGCGTGTTGTTATAACGAACTTATAGGCGCTGATGCTACGACTAGAAACGATACTTGTTAACAAGTAGGTGACATGTCATTGACGTCACTGACACGTTGATAACCTGTCTCATTGCCGACAACATACTATAGGTCCCTTCGCCACTAACACGCTAGGTGGGGTAGCACGTCATCGTCTCAACAGGTAATAGCCCCACAAAAAATGTGACTCACTTGCCCTCAAAATTCCTTTGAACAAAAGTACCTATGGTATTTCATGACACGTCCTGTTCGCCAGAGAAAATTTTTGCAAAGTCTGTCCCCCCCTTGGATTTGCTCGCTCTGGTAATCAACCCCCGCCCCCGACCTTTCCATCCTACCTACCATCTTCCTGACTTCTCCAACTTCTTACCATTTTAATTTGACTATACTGAATACTAATTCTATAGAAATTGTGCGCCGCAAACTAGGTGGGGGCAAATGCGACCCATCCCCTGTGGGAGTCTCCCAAATTAGGGATCACTGCGCATAGATGGATAGTGAGCTGAGAAAACAACTGTCAAAAAGAATTTTTTTTTCGGGTCAAATACGATCCCTTCCCCTTGTACCATATGGAACTATTGGGGCTTGCCTAACCTGGAACAACACTGTTTCATCTCACCGTTCTCCATTCTCAGTTTAATCTTGCTTTTTTTTCTGATACCATGACCTTCAGGAAACAAATCCGTACCATTCCGCAGTTTCTACGGGGGTTTTGTAAACTTTATATATTTGCCAGCTATGTTGAAAGGAGTTGTTATTGAAAGACAAAATGCTCCCACTGCGCGGTATAGCGCTCGAATAAATAGTTATCTTTAAAAAACATAATACTCACCTGTAATCCGTCGAGCACAAGATTAATGACTTGATGTGTAAGATCGGGAAGGCGATAGATAGTGAAGAGGAACTGTATACCAAATACCGGTATCAGAATCACAGCCGCTCGTACGGCTTTTCTGAAAGAACAAAGTTACATAACTGGAAAGAAATACGAGGTAGGAATGTAAAAATATGCAGAAAGTGTGATGGGAACGGTAAGATAGTTTGGATATGGAAAAATAAAGTGAGGTTCTGAAACATGGTCCGAAACTTTCACAGACTCAAAATGCCCAATATTTTTGGAAGTTTTAGGCTTTTTAGTCTCATGATATTTTCAACATATTCAACACATTTTTTCAGACACATACACAGGGGGGGGGCAAAAAAGTTCACTTTTCTTCCTTGACTTTCGAGGTGCTATAAGACACACTTGGGACATGTCTGATCGGACATCTAACACCATATTAAAAGACAGCATTAAAATAGCTATCATGAACCCCCGCCACAGCCTTCTGGAGGAGCGCCATCGAGAGATTCTGCCACGCGACCGTGAGTGGGTACCTGAGTTCAGCGATATAGTTGATTTCTCCGCCACTGTAGACCACCCTGTTGAGCTCCGCCCGAACCGGGTAATTGAGGGAGTTTAGGTCAGGTGACCTACTTAGATATTCCATCTTCTTCAGGTACTCAACGTCCTTCCATTCCGAGTGGGCGAGTATTTTTCCAGGCCCTTCGATTCCATGTGGTGGCACCCAATGCTGTAGCAGTACAAAGTTTCCAAGAAGGTACGGGCGACGACATGTGAGGAGGATATTCTTCACGAGTTGCTCGATGTAACCGCCAGCGCTCACCTTCAGTCCGGGTCCACGAAGAAAATATTGGTCTTTCCATTCCAGGTACGTCCGGTCCATACCATCAACCCGCGCCTTGGCGACTGTGGTGAAGATGTCCTAGACCGTGGCGACGTTGTCGGAGCTGCTCGATGTTGGAGGTCATCCAGATCGAGAGTACTGGTCTCCAGGTAGCTATCCATGGGTGACTCCATACTAGAAGTTTCGCAGCTGTTTGGAGGTGACATGAATTCCAAAGGTCTTCTCCAGTCAGGCTGCGACTGGAGATGGCTTCATATTTTTTGGGGTACGTGGAGGTAATGGGCGAGATCCAGCTCCTGCTAAGAAAGAACATCTTGGGTATCCCTGGTACATCTGGTACTCGTATCCAAGTCCTGTCTGGGCTGCAAAAACTTTGCTGATATGTGACTCGGTCGAAATGTGTTTTTTTTTGCCCGCCCCCCCCCCTGTACATTTAGGCTCTGGACGTTCGCTAGTTCATTTCGCGTTCACTAGTTCATTTCCTCAAGTTCGATGTCCTAACTTGATGAGACCCGTGGACTCTTGTCAAGTGTTAATGAAGCGTCTGCCAATGAATAGCTTTACAGGAAAGGAGTTCACAGGTCTTCACAGAAGGCATCGGCGGTGATTGGTGAGAAGCAACAAAATGCCCCACCAAGGCGAAATCTCCCCCGCCGCCCCACATTTTTTCAGCAACTCTCAATAACTGACAAGAGCTTCCTAGATTACATCGAACCCTGCGGTTCTGCCCGCTTCCCTTTAGCTTACCATGCTGGTTGGACTATATTTCTTTGGAGAAGAGATGAAGCGGAGTTTTCTTCCCACATTCACACAGAATCCCTCCTAAGTTTCCGCATTCGCAATATTTATTCTCGCTGAGCTTTCATAAAATCAAAGGCATTCGAGGATGCAATCCGATGATTTCAAGGTCCCTTCACAAAATTTCATATCCCTCACTCATAATATCTAGCGGGATAAATAGCGCAAAGATGCGTCGGGGAGGTCTAACGATCAGTATGAGTTGCCGAATGTGTAATTGAAGACGCTGAAGAAAGAGAAATTCGAACCGATCCCGCAGAACAAAGTCTGTGGCTGCTAAATGCACTCCCAAGAAAAACGCTACCCCACTCCAAAATTAGACTTCGCTGGTAATTGGAAGGGAATCTGGTCTATTCACGGATGGTCAATCCTTCATGTGGCGAAGGATTCTTGCACGAACATCATTTGGTTACTTGCCCAGCATTGATGGGCTGCAGCTTTCGAGCAGAAAGCTGATATTAGAAACTCGGCCACGCAAGCATGCGTTTCATCGTTCCCAATGGGATTCCACTCGGATAATCGGCCATAAAGAACCGTCGGAAGTTTCCTGGTTCAGCTAAAGATAGCCTGGCTTAGAACGTTCCGTTTAGGAATCCAAAAAGAATTTATGGTTCCGAAAAAAGCTAGTGGAATCCTGGGCCCAAATGTCGACCACTCTGACACTTTTCACACTTGATCCCTCTACTATTGAACTGCTTTTATATAGTTCAGTTGCGGTGAATCTCATCTTCCGATTTTCTGGATTTCAAGTTATATTTTTCACGAGAACAAAATCGGTTCAGGAAGAAGTGCAGGAAAAACACAATTGAAAGGTTGCAAGCCGTGGTTGCCTGTTTCATTTGATCCCAGCGGAGGCCTCGCTTTTGGCAGGATATTTTCGTCTTGGGAGTGTTATGATCATGCCTTTGTCCAGAACAGAGTAGGATTGTAGCTCTCCCAAACGGCACGATTCCCAAGGGGAGCATATCTACGCGATGTTAAAATGAGGTACGCAGCCACGCCCTTTCCATCTCCTGGATACGTGGTGTGTCTCCTTGTGAAATATCAGTATGTGAAGGGATAGCACTATTGCCACTGCTCCAGTTTCTTAGAGCATCCGTGGAAAAATATTAGAAAAATTATGGTTTTTCTTACTGCGGATGGATGTGGAGGGGTGTGGCAAGGGGGATGGACTTGGGTGGGGAGCACCAGTATATTATTTCTTCTTTCTTCCTGTCGGCAAGCACAAGACTGTATCTCACCTTTCGTATCAGCCGTTTCCCACCAAATGGTGTCGCTTACCCGCTTTAGCGACTGCTGGAGAACGGGCTAGCGGAGCGCCAACTCCAGCCTTACTGACGCGCTCTTTCATGAGAAGCGAACACTACTGTATACAGCCCAATTTTAGGCGTTCTCTTGTTTTACTCCTGGTGGTTCAAAAATATGAATAGCCGTGGCTCTTGGGGACCAATGCCGAATGACCACAAGTGTCACATTGCCGTAGAAAACTGCAAACTGGCGCATAATATGAACTTATTCAGAATATTCATAGTACTATGGATTCAACCCTTCAAGGGAACTGGTTTTATTGACAAAAAAAATTTAAAATGAGTCAGTGCTTTGAAATATGTCATTTGGGAGCTCAGAAAATCCTAGAT